ACCTGCGTATTATGAATATTCATCAGTTCTGTAAGTTTCAAGTCAAAAGGATAATTGGTTTTCCACTTATCGTGTTATCGGTGCTGCATATATGCTGAAAAAAGTGAAAAAACAGCATAAATTCCCTAAAAGTGACCCGATCATGCTGATTTTCGAACTTGACCTGCGTATTATGAATATTCATCAGTTCTGCAAGTTTCAATTCAAAAGGTAAAATGGTTTTCCACTTATCGTGTTATCGGTAAAAGTGCACGGCGACGGCGACGGCGACGACGGCGACGACGGCGACGACAGCGACGACGGCGACGGCGACGACAGACGCAGATGATGGCTATATGTACAGACACATCTGTGTCTGTACATAAAAATATGAGCATCAATGAATATGGATATGAATAAGTTGGCACAAACCAATTTATAAAGGAAAAGTCACTAAAAACATGAGGAAACATGTATCACAAAACATTCCCTGTCTATTATTCTCCCCCCTTAATCTGTAAGACTGGGTTCCTATACCTTGATCGATCTAACAGGATCAGTCCATCTCCAAAAGGTTTCTTGTTAAATTGCTTTCAGCTTAAGCGGCTTAGATGTCTAGCATGTCTACTGAAGTTGATAAATGATAATTAATTATCCCCTAGCAGCTTCAGCAGGCGTGCCAGACATGTAAGACGATAAAGTTGACTGCAATTTAGGGAGAATCCCCTTGGAGATAGATCGATCTGCAGTTATTAAGAGAGGGTCAAACTCACTGGATTCATACATCACATTAACCCTGGTATATGTTATAATATGAATACTAACAACCAGTTCAAACTCACTGGGATCATACATCACATTAACCCTGGTATATGATATAATATGAATACTTACAGCCAGTTCAAACTCACTGGAATCATGCATCACATTAAGCCTGGTATATGATATAATATGAATACTTACAGCCAGTTCAAACTCACTGGGATCAAACTCCTCCCCTCTGTAGTAGACAGCCTCTATGGACTCCAGGAGGTCTCTGTCAGCATGAGGATCATTGGGCATGTCTATGTGGTGGATATGTTCCTACAATACAGGACACATTGTGGTAGGTGAGACAGCTGAGCATTTGTTCTCAACCTCACAAAATGTGGTAGGTGAGACAGCTGAGCATTGAATCTCAACCTTACACATTGTGGTAGGTGAGACAGCTGAGCATTGGATCAACCTTACAAATTGTGGTAGGGGAGACAAATGAGAAGGTACTTTAAAATGGTTACTTTCTTTCACTTACACAATGCAAACATCTGTTGTTATTATCAATGATAAAACATTGTATAAGTGAGAAAACTCTGCAACAGTACTGACTACAGCATCCTGCCGATAACACTGTTTATGCTTTACCAGTGTATAAGTTTAGTTTTAAATCCCACCCAAATATCGCAAGTGATATCTCTTTTGTGACAAGCCTGGGTTCAAATATCATCAGGATTCAACATTAATATATCCTAAATTGACTGACTGTATTTGCACTAATTGCACACACTATACATGATTTATTACTGTATGCAACAAGTTACACAGGCACACAGGGCACTTATGCTTTAAAAACAAGGCATTGGTACATCGGTTTTTGTCTCTTATTATAACCCATCCGTTTACCTTGTACAAGGTATTGGTGCATCAGTTTTTTTATTTCTAAAATTCTAATCCAGGCATTTACCTTGAACAAGGTATTGGTACATCAGTTTTTTACTTCTATAATTCTAACCCAGCTGTTTACCTTAAACAAGGCCACTGCCGGCTGACCCACCAATTCATCTGCAGCAAAGTCATGATCAGGAGATCTGGGGTCCTGGAAGAAATGGGGAGATTATGATTATTATTATTATTATTATTATTATTATTATTATAAAATGACAAACCCTGGTGGAGGGGCAATTCTACAGAAATCCTGGCGAGTAAAATTCACGTTTATTTATAAAACTTATATATTCCAGTAAAGTTGGCTGGTAAACCCCACCCCATTCCAGTTATAAACTCTTATGCTGAGCTCACCATGTCCTCTGAGAGTGGAGATCATTTCTAGACTGAATATTTCCAAAAATCTCAGAAAGCCAGCTCATTAAGGGCCAGAAACTGTCAGCCCTTAGTCTGATTTTTACACTTTTTTCTGCCAACATGTACTATGCCTCAGACATTTTCCTGTGGTGGCTGAAGACTGAAGCTTGCCTTCTAACTTACTGAGTTTAGGCACAAAATTACCACCGAGTGTATTGAATAAATTGATACACAAATCCACCACATATGGCACAGGTGATCAACGACATCAAGTACGAACGACGTTTGCACTTACAGTCTATTACTCTTAAACAGTTAGTTAAAGCAAAATAATCAGTCTGTTAATAATGAAGTATCATTAATTACACCCATTACAATTTACATTGGGAGTGACACACTGACAATACTTTACTGGCAATTATTGTTTTAGTTCCCGTAGAATAAGTGTAATTTGATTTTAAAAAGATTATCTAAAAGCACCTCACCTGCTTTCCAATGAGCGACTGCAATTTTTTCCGAAACGCCATGTTAATTCAAATCTCACAATATTTTATAAAAAATCGTATAATTTACTCCTCCCCTGGGTAGCCATGTTGGTTTCCTGTAGTCACGTGACAAACATTGAGCAGCTCCACACCGATATAACATAACATGTTGCTCATGCTGCACAAGTTGCTGCACATGTAGAAGTTTTGTAAGCCTAGATATAGATAAGATAATATATTTACAATATCTTAAGTGTGTAGGATTCGTGTAAAACTTTACTTTATGCACTGGAGGTCATTTGAATAGTATGGCGTATCTTGGCCACTAGCTGTCACCGTTATATATTGACATTTGCTGCAGAAGACGTGTTTTGTGTTTACAGTGTTGTTATTGTTAATAAGAATCGACGGTTACCAAGTCATAGAAGCGAACGAAGAGAAGGGCATTTCAGGCAAGAAAGGTTGTTTTTCATAATCTGCATTTAACTATTTAACTGACTGGGATCATTCATGCTGGTTTCCACTTAATAAATGGAAGATGTCCTTGTAATTTGCGTGTTAAAGTAGAGGGTGGATATCTTTACTGTTTAACTGAAGACGAGTATCCAAATGTTATATGGTTATTGCTAATATTAAAAGAACTGACCATATAAGGTACAATATGCCTAACAGTATATTTCCAATTTTTATAATAATTTTTAAATATACTAATATAACTATTTTGTTATTCCCGTGTTGCTTGTGTTGCCGCCAAGCAGAAATAAAAATCACTAATTAAACAGTCCCTTATTGTAGCTATCCCAGGATGAACTCCACCCACTGTCTGTTAGGAAGAGTGCTATGTGTGGTGACTGGAGCCAGCAGAGGACTTGGTCGCTGCATTGCCACACAGTTCTCCTCAGTAGTAGGACCCTCCTCCAGGTTTATCCTCACTGGTCGCGATGCCTCTCTCCTGGCAGGTGTGAAGGAAGAGATCGTCAAGTCGGCCAGCGGGGTGGAGGTAGACTGCCTGGTCTTGGATCAGTCCCAGGTGACCTGTGATGACGTACTGAGAAAACACCTGGCAGAGAAGGCAAACCCCAAAGATTTCGACAAAGCAGTGATTGTCCATAATTCTGGGTCACTTGGGGATATAACGAGAAATGCGAAAGATTTTGACAACATGGCTGAGGTGCAGTCGTATTTTGATGTTAACCTGGCCAGTATGATAGCTCTGAATGGCGTGTTCTTGAAGTGGTGTGGACAGGAAGCGAAGCCACTGAGGACAGTCATAAATATCACCTCAATATCAGCTCTACAGCCATATAAAACTTGGAGCTTATACTGCGTAGGTATGGGCCTTGTGAAGGAATTAGGGTTGACAATCTGAAGCTTCAGATTTGTGAGCAAAAGTGTCCAAAATAAAGAAATGAGCCAGGAATTAAGAAGCCCAATGTAAGATTTGTAGTCATGTGCACAGCGTTAAGAACCACAAACTGTTAAACCACTTTTCTGTTCATTCCGTATGCTCTGTATAAGCTGAAATTGTTGAGAGCACATTGCTGTCATATTAAAAAAAGAAAAAGGAAACCAAATGTATACAGCCAAAGACCTGGATGAAAGCTGGACAAGTTGTTTCTGTGGTCTAACACTGTGCTGGGGGTCACTCATTTTATGTTGGGGTGAATTAATTTGTGGCTGGAGTCTTTGGCCTCATTTGGAATAGGGGACTAACAAGTACGAGGGTCAAATATAGCTGACCCACTTGAATACTTCCCTACGGGATATCTATTCAGTATTTATTACCGATTAGGATGTAGTGGGTAGCCTTGATTAGTACAGTGTAAATCCCCTAGTCTGAATGGGGCCTGTGATTTTTGCTCCCAGATCGAGGCACATGCTAGCAAATGACATATATTGTTTATAAGACCTGAGGTAGTGCTACTATTTATTATTAATTTTTATTATGTACAGACACAGAAGTGTCTGTACATATTGCCATCACCTGCGTCTGTCGTCGCCGATGGCGATGCCGATGCCGGCGCCGTGCACTTTCCTTGTAAACACAATAAGTGGAGGGCAGTTTTACTTTTTGGCTTTATATTTACAGAGCTGATGAATATTCATAAAACGCAGGTCAAGTTCGAAAATCAGCATGATCGGGCCATTATTGTAGAAATTATGCTGTTTTTTCACTTTTCAGCATATTTTTCACATTTCCTCAGATTCAATTCTTAGGCATGTTAACAGTCTCATTATTAAACTAATAAGATACGTAAAAGTTTTTGTTTGACATTTCCTGCATCTTTACAACATTGTTAGTTGATTTTGTAAAAATGATGGTAAACTTGTTATCGTGTATTGTGTAATAAAGTTTCAAAAATGGAAATAAACTCATATCATTGCAGTTTGTCAGATTCAATCATTCACTATGTTCAGAATCTCAGAATGGAAGAAATTGGACATTTAACACTGCTTTATTGATATTTTTCCCATCTCATCAATTTTCTTAGTTGATCATATAAAAATGGCAGTAAACTGTTAATTTTGTTTTATGTTAAAAATTGTTAAAAATGGGAAAAAAAAAATTTCAGAACAGTGCTGTCTTGTTTACATTTTGGCATTTTCAAGTTGTGACTTTGAAGTTCCATGGGCCTGAAGACCTTTGCTAGTCACATTTTCTGAATATCCATGATACTAATATTTTATTATTAAAAATTGATGGTCAATATGCTGTTAAACATTATGTAATATTGCATCAAAATTTGAAAAAATCCTATTTTGGGCACTGCTCCCATGATGACCATTTAAGAAAAACCATGTCACTTACTGTTCTCAAACAGTACAGTAAATATATATAGATGTGTGTTTACATATTGCCATCACCTGCGTCTGTCGTCCCCGTCATCGCCGGCGCTGGCGCCGTGCACTTTCATTGTAAACACGATAAGTGGAAGGCAGTTTTACTTTTTGGCTTTATATTTACAGAGCTGATGAATATTCATAAAACGCAGGTCAAGTTTGAAAATCAGCATGATCGAGCCATTATTGTAGAACTTATGCTTTATTTTTCACTTTTCAGCATATATGCAACACTGTAAACACTTTCCAAGGAAAACCGATAGGCCTGTTGTCATGAAACTCACAGGAGTAATCTATCTTATTAAAACGCAGGTCAAGTTAGAAAATCGGCATGATCGGGCCACTATTTTAGTAGTTATGCTTTTTTTT